CTCAGGAGAGTTGATAAATGCCCATATGGGTCACAAGCGACCATCATCTCAGCCAAATCTGTACAAAAGAATTACAGATGGGGGGTTTAAAGAAACAAATTCCTCATAACCATCCACATAATTCAGATTCATTAGGTTTGAGTGTAGGGCCCTTCCTACCTCCTCACATTTTCACAAGAGTCCCAGGTTATGCAGGAAGTTTGAGAACCAGGGCCCTTAGTATCGAACACCAGCAATGGAAAAAACTCATTTCTCTATATATATCCAAGGGTAACTTACGTATGGGTAGTAGGCGGTAAAGCTTTAAAAAGAGCTTTAAAAAGATTTAATATCAATAGTAGTCACCAATTATCAGCAAGAGTAGACACCCACCACCACTGTCAAAGCAATCCTAGATCCAGGTATACAATTACTACAAAACATGTAAGCTACATCCATGAGTGCAGGCAGAGAAGAGAAAGAAACCAAGAGCAAGTAGGCCCACAAGCTCTCCTAGATTCAGAAATCCTATTCTTTATGGGAACATGTAGGAGGAAGAGGGGTACAATCACATGGACACTAAAATCATTTTCCTAGAGAAACACTTAAATCACCACTTTTCCCAATTGTGGCTCCCAATTTCCAAAGACGTCAAAAGTTCTCAGGGAACTTTTCAAAGCCATTCAGGAGCTGAACTCATGATCCCTGACACTTCACACAGCATAATCTTCTTGCCTAGTCTCTATCTGTGCCCACACAAGTCTATACTTTTTTATCTCCCAAATCCAGACTTTTGTTTCCCAGCTTTTAATCACTCTTTAAACTTCACCTGCTCCTCTAAATCCTCTAATTAAGCAGAGCCAGATCTAGATGTATCACTCACCCCCACAGAGCCTGCAAGATTTCCTACATTGCTACCAGATGTGTTCGAGTATACCTGTATAGGCTTGTAGGCACAGGAACAGACACAGAGCTGGTCAATCTTTATAGTGCTTTCCTTTAAATTATAAAATCGTCAAGGGCAGATACCAAATCATTACACATTACAAAATGTGTCTCTGGAGCACAAAGTGCTAATTTGTGTACACATGTATTCCAGTGCTTTATGAAGATGTTCTCCAGATATCTCACGTGCAGCCCAGAGTTCAAGTCACCTACTTAGAAGAAAAGAGAGCAAATATGGTTCTAGTCACCATTCAGCTCTAGTCATCATTCATTTAATTTACACCTTCAACTCCAAAGACTGGAAATGTTAAGTAGGCACTCACTTAAATGAGCAGAAAGATGTGAATAATGGTAAAGAAAACAAAAGACCAGCTTTGAAATATTTCTGCAGTGCCCCCTTTTCCTGGAACACACAAACCAGAATAACTAGATCTCAAGTTATACAGCTACCAGATAGGATGCTAGGCAGATCCTAACACATCATGAAAACAAAACTGAACAAAACAAAACTTGCCTTGAAAGCACCAGCCATATTCTGAGATGACAGTTAAATCTGAAGAGTCTCAGGGGCCGGCCCCTTGGCTTAGCGTTTAACTGCGCGCTCCGCTACTGGCAGCCCGGGGTTCGGATCCCAGGCGCGCACCAACGCACCGCTTGTCCAGCCATGCTGAGGCCGCGTCCCATATACAGCAACTAGAAGAATGTGCAACTATGACATACAACTATCTACTGGGGCTTTAGGGAAAAAAAAAAAGGAGGAGGATTGGCAATAGATGTTAGCTCAGAGGCCGGCCCTGTGGCTTAGCGGTTAAGTGCGTGCGCTCCGCTGCTGGCGGTCCGGGTTCGGATCCCAGGCGCACACCGACGCACCGCTTCTCCGGCCATGCTGAGGCCGCGTCCCACATACAGCAACTAGAAGGATGTGCAGTTATGACATACAACTATCTACTGGGGCTTTAGGGAAAAAAAAAAAGGAGGAGGATTGGCAATGGATGTTAGCTCAGAGCAGGTCTTCCTCAGCAAAAAGAGGAGGATTAGCATGGATGTTAGCTCAGGGCTGATCTTCCTCACAAAAAAAAAAAAAAAATCTGAAGAGTCTCAGGACTCTAGTTGCCATGCTCAGAATAAGGTGGGGAGGTGACACTAGTTATTTTCTTACTATTATTTTCAGTAATAACAAAACAACATATATGGAAATCATATGGAAAAATCCAATTAATATCACACAACAGATCAAACCATTTTCAAATTTCCATAGAGTATACCAGTCTGTAAATCATATATACATTATAGGCAGAGACTGGTGTACCAAAGAATTCAAGGGCAAAATCTATTTACAAAATGTACAACTAGTTTCCAAAGGTGAATTACAATTACAATATCACACACAAACTGCCTAACAAAGAATTTTTTCTTCTAAAATATTATCACAACCAAGTTAGGAATACAATAAAAGCAGGAAGAAAAGTCACTGAAACCACTTCTCCACTAGAATGGGGCCAAAAATCTGCCCCCCTAACTGCCCAAGGGAAAAAAAAATCAAAACTAAAGACCCCCAAACCAGCTGATTATTTATGAAAAACCTAACAACTCTTGTAATTACCCCATGTTTTCAAAGTTATAAAACAATAAAATCTGTTAGAATATGAAGGTGACCTATGAGACCGGGAAACTAGCTGGTCCTAACAATAATCTAGCTTTTAATAATTCTTCAAAAAGAATTCTATATCTTAACTTTCCAACTAATAAACACACCTCTCAGATTCAGAGTTCTAGACAATAGCAATGAACTGGATAATCCAGCACCAAAAATTTCTATTACTATTATTCTGTAACCTTGAAAGTGGAAAACAAGGTGTAAAAAGAGATAGATAGGCTTCCTGCAGTCATTCCTCATCATCTTAGGTGGGGAAAGCATCCTATCTCTGGGCAGCCTTCTTGGGTCCTACCCTCCCAGACACTTTTTTCTCCAGAATATCCACGCTGGTGGAGATGAGAATCATCCTTCAGGCTGCTAACGTCCCTTATAAAAAGAAATCTCCAACGTCTTTGACCTGATGAGCAGACTGGCAAACTCACAGGATATAAGACGCCTGTAACATTTGAAAAAATAAACTATTTTGGCTTCTTTTTAGTGCTTAGTATGAAACACAAAAAAAGGCAAGGAATGTAGACCCTCTAGAAGTAAAAAGAATGGGGAAGACTGATAAACCAGGAGAATAAAGGCAGCTATATCCTAAAGTGTACTCAAGTCAGCTCCGAAATTCACCCAAATAGTATGGCTCACTGCCTAAACCAACATATACATCTGGTAATGATAAACACTGATAAGTCATAAACAAAAAGGGCTTTCTTAATTCAAAGACTCTACAAACTATCAGTAACATTAAAATTTACATAAAACACAATCAAACAAATGTGTGAAATAGATTTCTTTTAGAGAGCATTTCAACTTAAGTTACTAAGACATGAAAAACTGCTATTTTACTGCCAAGTCTTCAAAACACTAAGCCAGTATCTTTGATTTGACCAAGTTACAAATCTGTTTTCAGTAGAGAGAAAACATATTGCCTCTGTTTAAAGCAAAGGACAAAAAAGATCATCACTGCAAATCATAATGTTTGGGTTCACGATGAAAACAGGAAACAGGCTGCCCAGGTATAATTATGGTTATAGTCTAATGTGCCTTCAGGTTCAGCCAAGAATTAAAACCCAGTGAAGGGGGGTAAGCAGAATTTACTTGCCTCTACCTTGCTACAGAAGGCAACTTTTAATAATACTCCCAGCAACATGTTACATAACCAACAGTAAACAACAATCTGATTCAAACCTCATTAGTAACAACATTCTGCCAGTCTCCCACTGAAATTAATAGCTGACTTTGCCAGAGGGGGAAAAAATGCAACACATATCAATCTACCCATTTCTGTGGCGCCTACTACAATGAACCAGACAAGTAAATAATACCACCAAATCTGCACAGAATCTAGAAAAATATTTTACTCTTTTCTTTTCCAGTTTACTGCTCTCTTCCTCCTTTTAACTGGACCATATCATACGGATGCATTTAAAATCTAAGAGGAAAGTAAGTTGAGAAAGTTCCTCTAACTTTTACTGCCAATTTCAGCTATGATCTGAAAGAAATGGAAGCATAAAAGACGAACGGATTTTTGTAACAAAGATAAACAGGTCAAGTTTATGCCATAGCAGCTCTGTGAAAAGGAAAGGCACTCTGACGAAGGAGGAGCAATGAAAAGAGGGAAGGAAAGGAAGAGTGTATAGACAATCATGCAATCAAACAAAAGTTAAATTTAAAAAATTTAAACACTATGTACTACTTTTACGAAGGTTACATTTTGTTAACCTGTCTCTACGAGTTGTTTGTATTCTTGTAATCTCCCAGTTCATTTTAGAGGAAAAAGAATTACTAAAGAAGGAGTAAAAGAAAGAATACAAAATAATTCGTTCAGATCTATAAATAATTCCTTACTTACTGAATTTGGAACACACTAATTTCACAACAATAAATGTGAAACTGTCACATTATGTCTAGGTATTGTTTTCCCCACAACAGACACTACCGCATTGGTATCTAGCAGAAATTTTAAACTACTTGGAATGTTACTATACTGGGACTAAGGTTTTCAACCTTTCACCTTTCCAATTAAAATTAAAAACTAATTCACTCTGGGCAATTCAGGTACTCTAAGGAAATTCAAGCAAACTAGTTTAAAAAAAGAATTTTTAAAAAACATCAACTCAAGGACTCTTTCCTCTCCACTTCTGCGAGTCCAAGCCACAACCTCCACCTATCCAGTCTTTGTTGCTAGATAAGCACACTTTTGCTAGTGCTAGGCAACAGGCATGATGTGACAAAGCCAACCAGACTTCAAAACTTTTTCCACAGAAAGATAAGGTAAACAAGATATACTTAGCACCACACCCATTTAAACGCACAAGCAGCCAGGAATGCTTTTTTTTTTTTTCCCCTCCTCTCTAGACCTCCAGCTGGTCAGGAAACAATGTCTCTACAATCAAGATAGAGATCTGGCCCACGGTGTTCAGGCATTCCTCACCTCCAGGCTGGCCTACAGCTCCATTGTCCAATACCATCAAAATCAGAATTGGAACATTCTGTTAGGAAGCGGGCAAACGTCCAAATACCCGACTATCCTCGCCCCAGTTCTTTTTGCAACCAAAATCTGTCTTGGCTACTGAGCATGCTCCGACTTAAGACAGGCGCCACATGGGAGTTTTCAAAGCTTAGGCTCCAAACTCCACGTAATAACAGCAGCTGAAAGGGGAAGAGAGGAAAAAGGGAGGAGGAGGGGGAGGGGGAGAGACCGAAATCTGAATTTGAGTACCGATATTGAAGTGAAGGACCCGGGCAGGGGCAGAATATGACGAAGGCGAACAGACACTGCTTAGAAGTCTTGCAGCAGTGCAGAAGTTTACACGAAGTAGAAGAAATCTTTACAATGGTGAAAACTGGTATATCAAGTGGCAGAAACCAGGTCTAACTACCAGCTGAGCGCAGGAGCAAGTCACAACTGCCCAGAATGTAATTCCCACCGATAAGCGCGGATGCTTATCTTTGAAACACAAAGCGACGGCGGCACGGCTTCATCAAGCCATTGGACAGCGTTGCAGTGCAGCCGACCAGGCTGCTCCGCCGAGCACGGCGATCCCACCAGGGGTGTGTATTGAGGGTGGGGCTTAGATAAGGCAGAACCAGCCGCTCCTCCGGACAGAAGGGGGTCCGGGCTTCCCGCGGGGCCGTCCCGAACGTCTCCCTCCACCTTCCCGGCCGTACCGGCGGCGATGGGACGAGGGCCAGCCTCGGCCCCGCCTCAGAAAGCCCCCGGCCGCAGGCGAGGCCTCCGCAGCCAGACGGATCGCACCATCCCCGCCGCCCGGACCCCGCAGGCCCGGACTCGGCCTATCTCCCCCCCCCGCAGGCCCGGCTGGCTTCCGCTCCGCCCGCGGCCGAACGCCCCCGCCTCCGCCCGAGTCCGGCCGCTGCGGCCTGAGGGCGAGCCGCGTCCGGGCAGAGCCCGCTTCCCCCGGTCCCGCTCACCCGCCCGCCCCGGGGGCCCCACACTCACTCCCGGGCGGGCTGGGCGCACTCTCCCGGCGCCGTCGCTGCGCTTCCCCTCAGTGCAACTTCATTAGCAGCTCGGCCGCGGGACACACGCACGGCGCCCGCTCGCCCAGGACCCGGATGAGGGAGGGAAGGAGCCGGGGAGGACGCGGCTGGGGTCGGCGCATGCGCGCAAGAGGCCGAGTGACCGCTGCGGGCCGGAGGGAAGGTCTGTCTCGCTCTGGCGGCTGAAGGAAGCCTCCGCGCTTGGCTCGGCGCCCGCAAGCCAGGGCTTCCGATCAGCGGGAGGCTTCTCGTGCAATGGCCAGGCCTGGGAGTGGGAGTCGACTTGCTCCCACCGCCACAGTAGCCACTAGTAGTCACCACTAACCAAATCAGCCCACATTATAATGAAATAAAATCGTTGTCCTCGATATGGACAATTGGAGATTTTCTCAGTCATATGAGGTGTATATGAAAACATCTTCAGATACAACTTTGCTACTTTTATTGGTTTGTAATATAAATATAAATCCGAGTGAAGACAATCCTGTTTCTGAAAAAGTAGTTTCAAAACAAGCTTGGGAACATCTTACAGCTTCTTACTAGATACAGCCCTAAACCCCTCCCATGTGGAAATCTTGGAGCCTCTGCAGTTCCCCACCCCCTTGCGCTGCAGGACCTTGGAGTTCCCCAAAGCAGGACTGTCCGTGTACTGGAAGATCAACCCCGTAGTTCAAGGTGCACACACCCTCCTGGGCAGTGGGGCCCCCTGATGCAGAGAGGCCATCCATAGGCTGACATACCCCCACTCCAGATCCTGGGGTGAGAGCCTTACTCTCTTTTCTTAGTAACTGGAACTCTTCTCAATGCTTTTTCCCTCCAAATTCCCCAAAGTGTCAGCATTTCCCAGAATATGATCGTGGTTCCATCTAGGGCACCCAATCTGGAGAGTACTAGTGAAGAAAAACTTTTAAGTAATTCTGCTTTTACTTTAAAGGTTCAATGCTGGTTTTCCAATGTTCTACTATAGGTTTCCTTTTTAAATAAATCAATCTAAGCAAAAATCATGATTGAATTCATTTCAAATCCTCTCTTTCATACCCTAATCCAATTCATCGTGAAATCCTATTAACTCTACCTTCAAAATATATCCCAAATCTGACCATTTCTCACTGCCTCTGTTGCCACCTCCATGGCCTGAGCCAGGATCGTCTCACCTGAATGGCAAGTGGAAGCTGTTATTTTGCTTCAGGCTCCAGCGGTTTATTTCCACAGTGAAGAGACATAGCAAATGTTGCAGAAGTCTCTGCATTAAGGGTGGCAATCTCAAATGTGGACTGAGGCCTGGTGAGGGAGTGTAGTGGGCCAGGGTGGGGAACCAGAGAGTGCCTGCTCTCATCAAAGGGGGCAGCCGCTATTACACTCCAGCCAACTGTCACCATAGGGAAATGTGGGAATAAGGACCCAGTGTTGGCAGATCTTCTGATTTTTCAAAAACAGCTGGAAATCTGGATTTTAATGCAAAAATCTCAGTTTTACGTTTAGCAACTTCTTGCATCTTTCTGTCTTTTTCTCTTTCTTAGACATTCAGGACGCCAACCCTGTACAAGCCAAGGAAAACAAATCCATGGTCCCAATTTAGCCTGCTGGCCCTCAGTTTGCAATCTCGAGTCTACATCTTAAACCTCTTAACTACATCATAAACTTTGTGAAAGTAAAGTCTGTGTACTTTAACTCTTTGTCACACTCACTGATTATTTGTTGTTAATGCAGAAGTTTCCAGCCCTTGGAACGCACATGTTTCTGGAGCCTGCATGGATTTACAACTCCCAGAAGTGCCTGTAACCCTGCTTTGGAGGATGCCTTTTTTTTTTCAGAACTGGTGTTTTCACAGTGCCTTGTTGAACGTTATAAGACATGACAGGTTGGTTTAAATATTCTGTAAACTAGAGCCCCTCTTCACTTCAAATAGCCAGGAAAATCCTTCCCAAAACAGATTGTTTGCTCTCTTTCAGTCAATGCACATATGTAAGGAACAATTTGTGTTTACTGGATTCCTTTTAACAATCATATTTATAATCTCGAAGCCAATAGTTTTGCTTCCTGAAATATGTGTCTACATGTTGATCAATCAACGAGAGCCTCCAACCTCTCTGAGTTGCTATAAGAGCTCAGCTTAGGTCTTAAGTTGGAAGAGATGATAGTACAGAAGGGAGGAATGGAAATTTTAACAGCACACCAGATGCCTCCCAAGGACTGAGAAATTAGCCAGACCTCCAAGGGTATGATGTCCCTGTTTTTGGCAATCAAATGGTATCTACAAACAAGTGTAGAACAGGATGACCTGAACAGATAGCTATAATCCATGGGGTGTCAAAATAGACAAACTGCTTTTTCACCTTTGCGTGCCCCTGATCAAGAGGCTCAGAGAGAAGCAGCTTCAACACTCAATGTTACTTTACTTGTAGAGAAACCTACTTCTGGATAATTTAGGCCAGTGTTTCTCAATCAGAGGTGAGTGTGCCCCCTGGGGAACATTTGACAATATTTGAAAACAATCTTGGTTGTCACATATAGGAAGGCAGTGCTAGAGACGCCTACCAGGTAGAGGCCAGGGATGCTGCTCAACATTCTACAATACCCAGGACAGCTTCCTTCTACCAAGAATTATCCAGCCCAGAATGTCAATATTGCTGAGATTGAGAAACTCTAATTTAAGCTCAAAATAGTTTTTCTTTAGTTGGGTTGATGTTTAGGGAGAAGATGGGCCTCTTCTTTGACTTTTTCCAATAATTGTTTTAATTATTCATTTGGTGTAAAGAACCAGCCTGAATGTTTAGTCCATGACCTACTCCCACCTTGAATTTTCCAGATCCAAAAAGGAGGTAATTTTCAGGAAAAGTGAGACCATATATGGAACAAGAAGAACTGGAATAATTAACTCAGTGTTTCCCATATTTTTAAAATTTTATTTTTAAATATAGGGTAATTGAGGCAAATTGTTTTTGGTTTCAATATATTTAATAAATATCTCAATTCCACCCTTTGCTGTAGCTCAGAAGATTCTCCCTAAATGACCAGGGCATACCTAGTAGAATTGAAAGAATAGGGTGATGTTTAGAGGAGTCACCCAGCATAGAAGATCAGTGAATGACATCATGGAGATCCATAAAGTGTCCTGGTAACTATCTCAAAGACTTCTCACTGCCTCAGACAGTCATGGCAAGTGGACATCAGAGGAAGAAATGTCTAAGTTTGTGTGACTCCTCCGGCAGTGTCCTGGAAACAATAAAGCTGCCTTTCCAAGTTCTGAAAATTCTATGCATGTTCTTCAGTTGACAAACTAGCCCCACCTCCAATCCTTAATATTGGAAACAGTACAGGTGGCAGAGCTGAACTGAGAGAAGCTCTGAGAAGACCCAAGGAAATGATGTGCAAAGACATACCCTACCATCTAAGAGAAAAAAAATTATCATGTTACAATTTTTAAAAGAAACTTCATGTTATTTTTTAGCAGAATGAGGCAAGGTTCTGTACCCACCAGAGAATACACTGAAGTGACTTTATCCGATATTTGAAAGGATTTTTTTCCAGTAAAATTTGAGTGTTCTGGTGTGAAATTCTTCCTTAATAATCCACAGATCCTTTATTTTCACAACTCAAAAGTTGAGAATCATAATGTATTGAAAAAAAGGAAAAGTACAATAAAAGGATGACAGCAGCCTCTGCTGGAAGCACAGGAATCTCATGGCCACAAACTCCTCAAAGCCTCGGGGATAGATATCAGAGACTCCATGAGCCCCCTGGAGTGAATATGCCCATTTTTATGTATATACCTATGTACAGCTCATCAGATTCTCAAAAGGTTTCCTGACCTCCAAATGTTTGCAGATGCTTAAAGCAGTGGTTACTTTACATGTGGTATAAAATTTAATGTGTCCATTTTAAGTTATCTTTTCTTCTCTTCACTTTTTCAGAGCAACATAATTGGGAGATTCCTCTCTAGGGCAGGCTGCTTGATGTAGAGTGTAGGAACCGGGCTTGTCTGTCTCCAGCCATCAGCCACATTCAAGAAGGCCTCCTATGGCTGGAATCCAAAACACAAAATTAAAAGGGTTGCTTGCACCCAGAGTCATAAAACAAAGAGGGTTTCTAAAGCAGGGCTTGAAAGAAACACTCATTTCTTCCTGACTTCAACAGCATCTGTTCTTCCTGATGGCAAACACTCTCCAAGTTAATGCAACTGACCTCCACAGTTCTACATTCTCAGTTTTCATCCTCAGAGATATAGTCTCAGATGAGCCAAACCACATGTGCACTCCGCCACAAATCCAGAGCAGCAGGTGAAAATCCAGGAGTGTCATGGAATTGGGGAGAGGGGAAGGAGACAGCAACTTCTCCTTCTCTAGGGTGCCCTTTCACTGGATAAAATCTTAGCCATGAGAACTCTGAAGCAAGACTTACTGATTTGAGCACAGACTGTCTCACTTACTACCTGTGTGACGTGGCACAAGTTTCTTAACCAATCTGTGCCTTAGTCTCCACATCTATAATATGGGGATAACAGTAGTATCAACTTAATAGAATTATTATGAGGATTAAATGAATAGAGACTCGTTAGGCACTTAGAACACTGCCTGGCACATAGTAAGTGACATATAAGCATTTGTTTTAAAAACATGCTCTTTCTCCTGATATGCCAGCAATTTCTAATATATTCTTAGCAAATTCATTTGCTACATGAGATATGCATTCATTTTACCAAACAGTAGACTCTCTTCTCTTCTAACTTTAAGAGGTGATCTCAATCACTCTCAGGCCTCTGGTACTGTCTATTGCAGACAATCCCCAAATTTCTGTTTCCATCCTTGACTTGGCTAACGAACTCCAGGCTTTTAAACTACTCTTTTAACTTCTCTACTAGACCACAGTAGTTGTGGATTTTGTCTGCTTGCCATACTCTCCAATCCCTTTCTCCTGCTTCCTTTGTGGTATCATTCCCTTTCTATTTTAACCACAGTACCAAGCAACCCACTCCAGAGATGGGCACATAACCCAGGAGGGTTATCATAGTTCCCCACTAGCCGGGCCACCATGATTGGTTCATAGATGGGCATATGACCCAAGTAAAGTAACATGTATCATCTCTTAGATTG